AGATTAGTTTATATATACCATCTATACTTCCTTACCTTCTTTCACTCAACAACCCACTCCAACCCTGCTTTTGCTCCCCCGCTCTGAAATTGCACGTCAAAGTCACCAACCACCTCTACACTGACAAAATCAATGACTATTCATCAGCCTTCATCTTCCAGGATTAATTCTATGGTTTGCACATCTGCATTTTAATTCCAGCTGACTTTTTTTTTTTTTTTTTTTGGCCGTACCGCGTGGAACGTGGGATCTTAGTTCCCCGATCAGGGATCGAACCCATGTCCCCTGCATTGGAAGCACAGAGTCTTAACCACTGGACTACCAGGGAAGTCCCTGACTTCCTATTCTAATCTATATTTTATTTGGTCCTGTTCTTTTCTATATTTTTCTGTTTTATTATACAGCATATTTTCTTATGGGATGAGAAATGTAAACCGACAACCAAAGGTTATATCCAGAGAACTGCAGGTAACACAAATGGCTAGAGCAGAGTCAATGTGATGAAATCATACAGGAGAGGTGGGGAAGATAAGGAAAGGCTGGATAAACAGTGGGTATTGGGCTAAGGATTTGGACTTTGTTTAGCAGGTAATACATAGCCATTAAAGGTTTGTATATAAGAAATGCTCAGCACTAAACTGCTGGAATGTTGGAAGATTATTCTGGTAGCAGGTATAAAATTACTTGGAGTCAAGGGGTAGGGAGTGGAGAAATAGGAGACAAGGAGATCATACGGAATGTTTATTGCTGTGGTAATGAGGGCATAAGTTAGTGTAGTAGAGCTAAAAAAAAAAAAAGGAGGAATCAATGGAAAGACATTACTACTAAACTTTAACCAACTGAGTTAACTTAATTACTGATAACAGAACTATTAGCTGCCCCCAGTCAAGAGATGTTAGACTTTAAAAGTTCTACTAAATTTGATTTGATGGAAACTGGATGAAAATGTAGTAAACACAGAAAAATTCTCTCTCCCTGTTAGAAGTATAAACAATTCTAGTCTTGCTTCCTACTTTCTTCTCTCCTGAGTAAATTCTTCCAAAAATTTCAGGTAACTCAAACTTCTTAAAGAGTGAAAGTCTGGCAGTGCCTACCAGTCAGTTCTACTCTCATCATTGCCTCCACTCCCCACAACTTCCAGCCCCAATATGGTCTTCAATATGTTAAAATCAAGAAGAAATAGAAATTTATGCAAAATAGGTTGGGGAAGGCAAATTATCCCAAGTTAAACACAGTCCCTTTTCTTTTTTTCCAAAGGGAATGGTTGCTGATGCTCTGAGGAGTTAACTTATAATAACACATGCCAGGAAGATGATGTCAGGGAAGGCGTGGTTAGGTTCTTTACAAGTCTGAAATTCCTTTAGTCCCAAACACTTCCTCTTTCAATCTCACCTATACTCAAATCTCTCTACTGAGGCAACTCTTTCAAAAGTTGAAGGAAGTGTTGAGACCCTAGAACTCTGATCTTTTCTTTTTTTTTTAAGAACAAAGAATAATTGAAGGCCATTAAAATAGATGTGTTTTTTTTTCATGTACCATAATTTTGCAGAATCTCTCTTTGAAATCCACATTTTCCCCCTTCTGTGACTATTTTAATTCCAAAGAAAGGAAAGGATATTCAACACTACATCCTGAGAAAGAATGTGCCTTTATCAGGCATTATATATTTGCTGATTGTATGCCTATATTTACAACAGCCAAAAAAGAATAAGAAAACTATAATCGTCCTGGGCTCCTCAGTTAACAACTTTCCTGATAAAGTATACAAATATGTTTCAAAATAAAACAATCCTACTTTTCTTTCTTGCCATATCTCAGGGCTTGCAGAATCTTAGTTCCCTGACCAGGGACTGAACCCCTGGCCATGGCAGTGAAAGCGCCGAGTCCTAACCACTGGACTGCCAGGGAAGTCCCCAGACAATCCAACTTTTTATTTTTGTTATTATTATTATTTTTTTTTTGCGGTACACGGGCCTCTCACTGTTGTGGCCTCTCCCATTGCGGAGCACCGGCTCCGGACGCGCAGGCTCAGCGGCCATGGCTCACGGGCCTAGCCGCTCCGCGGCATGTGGGATCTTCCCGGACCGGGGCACGAACCCGTGTCCCCTGCATTGGCAGGCGGACTCTCAACCACTGCGCCACCAGGGAAGCCCCAATCCTACTTTTTAAAGACAAGTAGGACTTCCCTGGTGGCGCAGTGGTTAAGAATCTGCCTATCAATGCAGGGGACACGGGTTCAAGCCCTGGTCCGGGAAGATCCCACATGCCGCAGGGCAACTAAACCCGTGTGCCACAACTATTTAAGCCCGCGGGCCTAGAGCCCGTGCTCCACAACAAGAGAAGCCACCTCAGTGAGAAGCTTGTGCACACAACCAAGAGTAGCCCCTGCTCTCTGCAACTAGAGAAAGCCTGAGCACAGCAACGAAGACCCAATGCAGACATAAATAAATAAATAAATAATAAAGACAAGTAAATAAAACTAATGAAGTCACAACAGTAATGTACAAATGTCTTTTCAAACTGAGCTCACTGGAAATTATTTTTATTCCACCAACCAGAAGTGATGACTACAGTAAGTTATGATGTAAAAATGTTCCTTAAAGAAGGCAGATCTCTGCAAATCTATTATTTCCAGATTCTGGTATAACAAAATGATGGACAATAAAAGCACATATTTATGTGTACTTTTTCAGAAGTTAAGAATTTTGTTTTTTATTTCAGTTTTTTAAATGTTCCAGACAGGTCTAAGAACTTTTTTCCATAGACTTGTCCTACTTGAGAAACTGAGCAAATAAGCCAATGTCAAAATTAAAACTTTACTTTGTCATAGAAAAAAAGTCTGGTAGAATAGATAGAGCAAACTGCTACTAGTTATTTCCCTTAAGGAGTGGGATTTAGGTAAGGAACTTCAGGACATGAAGGGAAGACCTGACTTCTTATTTTACATGCCTCTTTATGCTTAAATTTTAAAAGTAGACATGTCTTACATTTATTACTATAAACTAATAAGTTATTTTAAAAATTTAATTTTCAGTATAAAAATGGACAAATTACATGAGCAAATTCACTTGAAACATTCTTCCCAAAAAATGAATGAACACATTAGGCCATACATATAAACAAAAAGACAAAGAGCAGTGTAGTAATCAATTAGTTTAAATATACCCAACACCCACAAACACAAGGAGTCATCGATATAGTCACAAAGTGATGTCATCATAGCAGTGACCTGTAAGAACTCAAAGAATACTTGACAAATACACTAGTAAGTATGTATCTACCCTTACCCCAGGTTTCCTAATGTGTTTCTCAAACCTTACAAGTTATCAGAAAGAGATATGAGATTTGAATCCCGGTCCGCAATCATACCTCTTGTCCCCTACACTATCCTAGATTTAGAAGCTGGTTAAATGTTTCCTATACAACAAGCGGGAAAGGGAGTGGAGAGCTAAGAAAAGAGAATATTTTAGATAGCATCAAATACATGAAGCCGCTAATAGGGAAAAAAACAATTTCTGGAATTCATTTTACTGTATTTTAATGGGTAACCTGATAGACTTGGAGGGAAAAAATTAGGAAGGAGATTTCATACAGTAGTATACAAGATATGAAAAGAATAAAGACAGATTAGATATCTATCAAAATCATATTGATTTATGTGTGTGTGTGTGTCTGTACATATATATACATATAAAATTGATAACAAATATGAACCCATATTTCTTAAGGATGTAACAGAATGAATACCACATAAACTAACACCCATAAACTAACACCCATAAACTAACACTAGGTGTTTTGGGTCTAAACATTTACCAATGCCTTGATCAGATACTTTGTTCACCTATAACAGTCTCCCTAGGTGTGTAAGAAAGCATCAGGAATTCTTACCCACTGTCCAACAATCCATCAAATGAGTAAAAGATCCTTAAATGTCTAAGGCACCTTTTTTCTTCAAAGAACAGCTATAGGGCTTCCCTGGTGGCTCAGTGGTTGAGAGTCTGCCTGCCGATGCAGGGGACACGGGTTCGTGCCCCAGTCCGGGAGAATCCCGTGTGCCGCGGAGCGGCTGGGCCCGTGAGCCATGGCCGCTGAGCCTGTGCGTCCGGAGCCTGTGCTCCGCAATGGGAGAGGCCACAACAGTGGGAGGCCCGCGTACCGCAAAAAAAAAAAAAAAAAAAAGAACAGCTATAAAATCAAGAGACGGGGTAAATGGTCTTTCTGCTACAGCATACAGTTCCTCCTAATCAGCACGGTGTGCACTGAAATGCCAAGAAACTGCCCAAGATATTCCCTGGCAATTGTGGGGATGACTGTACACCTCTCCCCAGACTGCCCCTGTGCCCGAGCACAGACTCCAGATATCTCTGCTGAGCCTGGCTATCTGCAGAGCAGAAAGGCCCAGCTCAGCAGCAGATCCCAAAGAATCACAGAACTTTCTGCCTTAATTCCCAAGGTACGTGTTCTCTTAAAACTCCTTCCCTACAGGCTGGGTGGGGTAGGGTCTTTATCAAAGCTAGAAGAGTAGACTCAGTCCTCAGATGAAGCTGTTGTGATTTCACTGACTGTATTCAGCTACCTGATAATGCTGGAGGAATGGTAGGAAGGAAGGTGGGCTGGGGGGAGAATGCAAACAGTTAACCAAAATGACAAAATAACCTTGGAGGTGGTAGGCTGGGGGCCAGGGTTTGAGGTGACATATTTTCCCTGTGAAAATTGGATACATCAGCAGGAAGTCAAACTAACTTCCTTTCACAAAGATACAAACTTGCAAAGCTTAATTTGTTTTTAATTCCACTGCCTTCAGGCCTCACATCAGGGACTATAAATTCCTAAAACTTCAGAATCAGGTGAGAAAAGATGCCAAAAAGTGATGGAAAAAGAGAGGCGCTGAGAGGAGAGGAATCCCGTTCCCCTCTTAAGGAGAATGTTAAAGCCAAGGGCACTCCCGATCCCCAGAAAAGGAAGTAGCTGGATTCCAAAAAAGCACTTTTCCCTACCTTCTTGTTGTTTTTGTTATAGCCAAAAGTCGAAATCCCAGGCCTGGAAGTCACTGATAGCAGCATTTTCTCTTTAATGTTAGGAAGCTAAGAGACAGAAGAGGGGAAGAAGGAGAGGGAAAGGGAGAGGAAAGAGAGAGAGGGAGAGGGAGGGAAGGAGGGAGGGAGGAAGAGAAGGGAGAGGGAGAAAGGAGGGGGAGGAGAAAGGGGGAGAGAAGGAGGGGGGGAGTAAAGAATGAGCTAGGGCTGCTTGTTTACGTCACTGATAGAACTTAACCCCGAGTCTGAGTGAGGCTCTTCCACTGGGTCCTAATGCCCAAGATGTTTTTTTGGTTTTTTGGTTTTTTGTTTTCCCCCACAGTCTTAGCAGTTAAAACAAAAGAAAAGTTCTTAGGTCTACCCCTTTCAACTCCATCACCTTTCCTATATGAACAAGTTCAGAATCCCATGAAAAAATGAGGATATTTTCTCCTTAGATCTCAGCTATAAGAAGACTCCAATCTTGATTTTAAAGGGGCCACTGGGACACTGCTTTGGAGAACATGTGAAGAAAATCACAGTACTGAAAAAGAATATGTGAGGTGAGCTCAGGACTTACCCCCCACTTTATATTTAGAGCGACCTTAACACACAAAGAAAGAACAAACAGAAGAGCTCACCAAAGAGCAGAGACAAGCAAAACAGAGGATGGGAAATAACTAGTTTCAGATCCTTGGATAGTTTTACTCCTCTTAGGTTATGCTGATGGGCTGATGCCTCTTAATCCTTTTCAGATTCTCCCAGCTATGACTTAATACTTGAGAAGGAATTTTCAAACTGGACTATGTCATGAAACTTGGTGCCTAGTGCTTTCTTTTTTCTTTCCCCCAGCTTTATTGAGATATAATTGCCTAGTGATTTCTTCAATTGTAAGCTATCTTATTTGAATCTTTATCCCACTATTTCCTAGTCTTCAAGGTCTATGAAGCTGAACAATTAGTTACTCACCCAACCTGAAATTTATGCCCAAGCTGAAGTTCACAGAGTTGGGATGTCTGCTTCAAGCTGTCTGTGAACTGTAGAAAAAAATAAATAACTATTTTAAAAACATATGCTTCACAGAGAAGAAAAATACAAAGTTCTTAGGAAAGAAGAACATTAATTTAGAGTCAAGAATTGAACACAGTTGCAACACTCACCTCTAATACTTTCAAAGGAATGTCCTGTAGAAGGTACCTTAACAATAAAAGAAACTTGTTGGAAAACAAAAATTTAAGAATGATACCCAGTAATTTACCAATCTAGTCCAAGTAGAACAGGGATATAGAATGAAAGCCTTCAAATCACTTCTTAAGGCCCCCTCACAGCCATAGTGGATATTCTAAGTAATAAATTAACCCTGTCTGCTTTGCCACAGAAAACATTAAGCTCAAACCATCCCTTAAATGAAGTTCCAGTCTCTATTCTAGTTTTCCTGTCACCTTTTTGCTATAATAATGGGACAGACAGTACCAACAGTCTGCAGAGTAAATACACACATACCATACCCCCAATCTCTAACTTTCATTTCCAATAGGACAGGAAATTCCTGCTCAGCTCAAGGGACACAGGAAGGGTGGGAACAGCCTCAATGTGGGAACTGCAACTGAGATTGGAAGCACAGCAGCCAAACGCAGTCAATAAATCAATAAAGGCATCTCTCAGTGATACCATATTTTTTTAAAGTCCCTTTTCTGCCCTCAGAGATTCTCATTCATGATATGCCAAGTTATCATTGCCATTTAGGTCCTTGGTTGATGTCTCCTCCCTTAGCCTAACAATGTGGTAAAAACCCTTCATTTTTAAAGCCTGATTTATAATGGGATTTATAATAGCAGTCAATCTAATTTAATTTTTTAAAACTTCTAATATTCTCAACGTGTTGTGTTCTCTTACTGCATTCCTTAATGCTCAATGATATCTTAGAATTTAAAATAGTTAAAACCGTAAGTTTTAGAGAGAAGCAGACATGAGTTCAAATCCTGACACCACTGTTAGTTACTGTTTATGTAACTTTAGGCCAAGTTACTTAACATCTCTAATTTACTCATTTCCAAAATGGAGATAATACCTACTTCATTTGCCTTTGGAATCAAATCTAAGTTCTGGTTTGGTCCTGTCACTCACAAGCTGAACCTTCTCTCCTCTGTAAAATATACAAAATAAATAGTCTCTGCTTCCTAAATTGTAGTGAAATGAAATAAGGCAATGTATATAAAACCCTTAGGCAGGTATCTGGCACTTGGTACACATTCAACAGATGTTAGCTCTATTTTGATTAATTACCCTACTGTCTCCCAGTGTATCCCTCTGGGTATTGTATAACCCAGATTTTATGATCTGAAGTGAACATTTCCAAAAACTAGTATCTTAGTTACATTCAAAAGATCATACTAGGACTAGGCAGGCTAAACTATATAAGTGGAAGTACTGAATAAGAAATTTCAGGAATCACCCAATCCAATTTCATTTCTCTGCCTTCTAGAAGCAAACAATCTGATTATTTGGAAATTCTTTTCATAACTCCCAATCTCTTGGAAATTGGTGGATCGTCTCTTATCTCTAGGAAAAAAAGGAAACAAAATAGTACAGAATCAAAGTACACTAGACAAGACATCCCAGCTCCCATTTCTCTAGAGTTCTACTACTCTAAGAAATTGAAATAGATCTAGAAAAAGTAGAAAGTATCAGAAGAGAGATAAAGAAGGATCCAATTGGGACCTCCCTGGTGGCGCAGTGGTTAAGAATTCGCCTGCCAATGCAGAGAACATGAGTTCGAGCCCTGGTCTGGGAAGATCCCACATGCCGTGGAGCAACTAAGCTCGCGTGCCACAACTACTGAGCCTGTGCTCTAGAGCCCGCGAGGCACAACTACTGAGCCCATGTGCCACAACTACTGAAGCTCGCATGCCTAGAGCCCGTGCCCCACAACAAGAGAAGCCACTGCAATGAGAAGCCCGCGCACCACAACGAAGAGTAGCCCCGCTCGCCGCAACTAGAGAAAGCCCGCGCGCAGCAACAAAGACCCAACGCAGCCATAAATAAATAAATAAATTTATTTTAAAAAAAAAAGGATCCAATTAAATAAATTCTATTTTATAAATTCTATATAAATAAATTCCATATGTATTTACTAATACAAAAACCTGTATGTTTATACTCTGATTATAAGTTTAGGGCCATAAAAGTAAAATGACCCAGATTGGTGAACTGATGTCAAAGGTCAATTATGTCAAAGAGCACCAACAGGACTGGAAACTACATCCTTTACTCTGTTAAGTATATTTTTAAAGGAGGCGATGGAATCTTGTGGAAGTGACAGAGAAGGTAATGGAGTTCTGTGGTTATATTCAGGAAGTATATGAGAAGAGGAAGAATCCTATTTCTTCCAGTGTGTTTACTTTGATCACCACCCCCCATCTGCTTTGCCCATTATATTGCTTACATTTTTCCAGATTTAGTCAATGCCTCTCAAATTCTTGGTTCTCTTGAGCCCAGCACCCAAAAGTTGTTTTGAGGGGAAAAAGTAAAATAAGTTATTTGGAACATCTCTTGGACGGAGACATTTATATCTCGGATTCAATATAGACTGGTTTGTGATTTCTCCAGAAAAACTGTAACAGGGAAGAACAAATCTGACTCCATGTTGGACCTGTTTCTTTTACTTTAACCTTTGTATTCTATTGCTTTTGCTACAAGTTAAGAATGTTGCCTATAGCCTGAAATATACAGGATAGCCCATTCTCAAGGCTCTGACCTTTAAAGGTATAAAACTTTTCCATTCCTACAGAGATAAAAAGTTGCAGAACAGAGAATAACATTTGTCATGCTGGAGGTTTACAGGAACAATATGACCTGACCTACCTGGACAGATGCAAGAACAAAGGATTCTGACACGAAGAAGTTTGCAGCAACCAACCACACCCCCTCCCCTTTTAGTAAAAAAGAAGCCTAAATTCCAACTTGGGTAAGATGGTTCTTTAGGACACTAGTCCACCACTTCTCGGTCTGCTGGCTTTCCAAATAAAGTCACTATTCCTTGCCCCAACAACTTGTCTCTCAGTTTACTGGCCTGTCCTTCGGCAAGCAGCACAAGCTTGGACTTGGTAACAAAACACTTTTAAGTATGTGTCTCAGGTAGAGAGCAGTTGGGGTCAGATCAACCCTGACTTGTATGTTGAAAGATGACTGCATGCAACTATTGGGCCCTCCACATCAGAGTGGAGAACTCAAAGAATGTATTACCTGCAGATATGCCAGACCCTAGCTGTAGGACTAGAGCCAGGCTGATGTAGCACATGTGTCTGCCAGCAGTGAGACAGGACCAAGTTTGTTAGTGGAGCTCTGAATATGGTTCAGAGACCTGAATAAATATATTAGGGCCAAGGGTTTTTTTTTCCCCAGCTATTCATATTCTCTGTGGGGATTTCCCTGGCAGTCCAGTGGTTAAGACTCCACGCTCCCACTGCAGGGCATGCGGGTTTGATCCCTGGTCAGGGAACTAAGATCGTGGCCAAAAAATATACATATATATATTTCAAATAAATATATAATATAAATTTATATTTATATAAATATATATTTATAAAAATATATATATATATATATATTCTCTGTGGATTATCTTTCCTCCCACTGATTAACTTTTGTGCCCAAAAGTCTAGGTCACGAAAAAAAGACCAAAAAGTTCAATTTATTTAATGGTAAAGAGATGAGGTAATGCCTTAAGAAGAAGTGAAAAAAAAAAGTTTAACACATCAGCTTCCTTAAGTAGGAAAATTTAAGGATCTGAATCAAACAACTAGAAAAGCTTAGCCTTGTCCCCTTCGAATATAGGATGGAATGACAAAATTGGTCTAAAACTAGAAACTGGGAAAGTTTGGCCTCTCGACTCCTTGACTTAACTCATTGGAAAACAGGGGAAAAGACAGGCAACTCTGAAGAATTATTTATCTCATACCCTGGATATCAGTGCTAATAGTATATTCTTCTCTTCTATAACAACAGATATTTCTGGCCAAAACTTACTACAGAGAATATCCTAACAAAATTTTCAAGTAGACTTTTCCTTTGCCACACACTAAAGAAATACAGGAATCAAATCTTCTAGAATCACTGGACCAGAAAATTAGTATAATGTAGAAAGAAAAGACTAGACTGGTTTCTATGCATACCCAGCAATGGACTGCATTGATGGGTAATATTATAGTCTCCAAATGTATGTTTCCTTTACACTTGAGACATTAATTTTGTTTGGCTTCAGCTATCCCTAAAATAAATAGCTCAGATGATCCCCATAAGTGTCCACAACTGAATTGAACAATTAGAACCAAATGAAATGGCTGCTTATGTGGGTTAAATATAAATCTTTTCAAATAGTCAAATACTGGTAATTTCATATGGTTAAATCTAACACTGCAAGAAGGGTGAGACTGTGGAGATGATAATGAGTCAGAATACTGATGAATTGGATAGTTCCTTTCCTTTGTCCTCTCTCATTTTCAGATTGAAAATAAAAAAACCCGGAAAGGTAAACTCACTTGCATAAGGTCATAGGGGTCAAATATCTGACACCAGAATCCAGACTTTCTGTCTCAATTCAACATTGTTCCCATACCAATCTGATTTGACTGTAAAATTTAGAATTCTGATATATATATCTTTTGGGGTCAGAAATAATAAAGAAATAATCCTAGGATTTCAGAGGTGAAAGTTCAACCATTTTCCTCAAATCAGCTTTTTATCTTAAGTGTTAAAGCAGTGATACCTAATATTTTGGCCTATTCTTTTTTTTTTTTTTTTTTTTGCGGTACGCGGGCCTCTCTCAATGTTGTGGCCTCTCCCGTTGTGGAGCACAGGCTCCGCACGCGCAGGCTCAGAGGCCATGGCTCACAGACCCAGCCTCTCCGCGGCATGCGGGATCTTCCCCGACCGGGGCACGAACCCGCGTCCCCTGCATCGGCAGGCGGACTCTCAACCACTGCACCACCAGGGAATCCCCAATTTCTTTTAAGTATCTCCAATGGGAAAGTGAATCTCAATGAACATTAAGAGAACACTGCCACCGCCTGGATAATATAGGTCATGCACCCTTTAGCAAATACCAGGAAGAGAAAGCGCAGAATTTGTATATAGGTAGATCAGAACTTTGAAATTTAAACCCAGCTCTATCATTTGCTGTGTAAAATTGGAAAATC